GAAAAAAAGTAAACTCCCGACGGACTACATAAAAGCTTCTGCTTCGCATCAATTACTTACCTAATGCAATTTTCAAGGAGCCTTGTATTGTCACTGTCAAATAACAGTACGCATTTATAGACATGAAAAGTAAATGTAGCGAGAAATACTCAAATTCACACTATATTAAAATCTTAAGAATTTTTTGAGTCATTAAAGTATCAAGTGATAATTTTCTTTTTCACTTCATGTTGAATTCTCCTTCTCACCAATTCATGTTGATTTTTATGTAAGGCCGTCGTTCCTTCTATGGCATGAGGGATCTTTGTCACTCTGCCAATTCCCCTTTCTGCCAATTACGTTATTACAATTGGCAGAAAGACAGTGACATTCTGCCAATTGACAGAATCGCCCTCTGACGTTCTGCCAACTATAGTACTTTTTGCCAATTGGCAGTATGTCACAGACATCTCTGCCCATTGGCAAAAAATCGCCCATGGAAACTTGCGGGTTACTTAAGTTAATATTATTTCTATAGGTAAAAGATGTTGCTCGATTATAATAGGAAAATATGAAAGAAGAAACTTGATAGAATACGACTGATTTCATCTTTTCAAATGGCTATGAGTCATTGAATCTCTCTATTTTATCGTTACCTCTTTCTTTTTCTCTTTTCTCTTTTTCGTGTTTCTATCGGTCTAACTAATTTAGTTTGTTGAATTAATGGACCGACATTCTCTTTCTGAATAGCCAACTTACTGAACTAAATTGTATTCATGTACAGTCCTACTGATTATAATTTATCAATACTGGAGTATTTATCACATTTTCACATCATTTTTATTTTTCCTTTCATCCGCAAAGGTCATTAGATGTGTTTTATTTCTCGTCTCTACTACTATACTCGACTGGGCTTTGTTCCACTCTCTACTTCTAACTAATATTTTATTTTCTAAGTGCACTGAATTTGTACATTCACTCTTTTCTTCCTCTAATCTAATCATATTATTCTTGTTTGTAGATCACAACTTCTTCATTGTCGACCTCTGTTAATTTGTTAATATATAAATATTATTTTCGCTTGTTATGTCACCCATCAAATTGTATTCCGTTGAAAAGTGAATTACTCGTTCTGTTGCGAGAATTATTCTATAAAGTAAATCGGATCAAAAATCTTCGATGTTCATTGAAATTCATAATAAATTAAATAAGGAAGCGACAATTCATAAACCATAACAGAATAAAAATGTATCTTTAAGTTTAGTCGAAAATATTTTTTTAAGTTAATTTAGAAATTCGAGTTTATAGTTTCATAGCCATTCCTGCCAATTGGCAGAAAATCATAAGACACGCTGCCAATTACAACACACTTTTGCCAATTGGCAGAAATTTTGTGACGCTCTGCCAATTCAAAAATTGGCAGAAAGGGTTAATACCTGGCATGAGAATCGTAGATACACGATCTGATAATTAATCATAGAAAAGATGAATGATTCGTTTTGATAATAGAAAATTTTTATAAATCACAAATCCTCTATTTCATTGTTTTCAATACATGACATATCTCAGTGATAATATCATTGAAATTTTCCAAAAATCAAAGTGTCACCTCTCCACGTATAGATAGATACGTACATTGGTAAATAGATAAATAGATAAGTAGATAAATGACTAGATAGTAGCCTCACGGTAACGATCACGGTCACGCCTGACTGCGGCTAGTTTTAAGAAAACTCCGAGACCGTGACTAAAAGTCGTAGTCACAGGTGTTACATGACCAAAGGTTTTACACACACCTTTACCTAAGCCTCGGCGCGTGGTGGCCCTGCAGGTCACCCAACGAGCGCCGAGATGTCATGTCTCTCTCATTGAACATATTCAACTCATGAAGGCCTCCGTGACCAAAGGTTCTATCTATCTATATGTGGATAGGTGACAGGTTTTTTTTAGAAAATCTCAATCATATTATCACTAAGATTTGTCATGCACTCATTGTTTTAGCGTTGAATAATAATCGAGTTCAGTCAAATTATGTAAAATATGTTGTTGCTGTAGATTTTTCTTATTTCAGTAAATCATGAAAAGCATAGGTTATAATAGAGCAGAAATTCGAGACACAACTATCAGTTCAACTTGACACCTTCTAATCTGTAATTATTGCTAGACTCCATCAAGGGATTGTTTTCGAAAGCGACTTATTCGATCTATTTCTCTAGCATTAAGGTTAAATGAGTACGATTGTTAATAATTATTTTCAACCATTATTATGATCTTTATGAAACATCATTACAATCATACTTTTCGGCATCGCCTATAAATAAATATAGTCACTTGTGTCGGTATGTATAGAAAAGGTCAAAAAAAAATGTCGAATAGTAATTAAAAGGGCAGAAAAAACGCCGAACGTTGGAAAGATCGAATGCTAAGAAGATCGAAAAAAAAAGAAACGAAAAAAAAAATGTCGAATCATAAAAGCGTTGAATGATAGTTTGGTCGAAAACAAAATGCCGAAAATTTTAAAATAAGATAGCTTTGATTATTCAAATGTAGATAACTTTATTGGTGCTTTAAAAATAGAACTCGTTTAAAATCAGATCTATATGATTGTGGGTGAATATGAGAGTGAGAGTATGGATGTGCGTATGAGTGAGGATCAGGGTGACTGTGCGGATGAGAGTGAGTAACAGGTGAGCGTGAGGGTACGGATGAGGATGTGGGTACTCTTAACGGCAATGCCAACATCCGAACGCTGTAGATCGTCGTGCCATACACTCTAGAAAAAAGCTAAGTTCCATACCGAACTTACAGGTTCAGCAAAGAATATGAAATCTAAAAAGGTTCTTCCCCCGGCAGATGAGAAGAATCTATTTGAAGGTTTCGAAAAAATTCTAAAACGTTTCGTACTAATCGACGGAACTTAAAAAGGTTTCACATGAAAGTACAAATCCTTGAGGTTTAGTGATGAGCCTTTTAAGGTTGTGCACAGATCCTTGAAAGTTTATGCCCGTGTGCCCGAGGGAAGAACCTCTTTTACAGTGTACAATGGACAATCAGAAAAATATCATAAAATAACTCCAGCTGCCAGCAGCGTACAATTCAATGCTAAATTGTTTACTTAAATCATTCTCGACTTTTTCGATATTTTTATCTTTCGGTTAGTTTTTTTTTGACAGTTTTTGGTTCGACCATTTTTTTTTCGATCTATTTTATTTCGACATTTTCTATTTCGGCATTTTTTTCGACGTTTTTAGTTTCGACATTTTTTGTTTCGATTTTTTCTATACCATTCCTTATATGTCAGTTTTACTTTTCATATCTTCATATCGCTATCAACTGGCTGGTTTATATATGATCACACAAATAAATCTCATCTTGATGATTCATTAAAGTATGTAAACCAAAGAGTAGATGTATACATGGGATGTTTCTCATCAAAAGTATACGTAACTATCGCGACTTTTATTTCTAGAAGGTCCAATAAATGCCTAGAGACTATATTAGCACATGGTAATCCAGTCAAAGCTGCTAATTTTTCATGAGTGCACTGATGTTCAAACAAGTAAAAAAGCTTGTTAGCGCAGCCCCTTTGGGGCTACAATGTAGAACTCGCATATATCCATTAGACTTACTAAAATAGTTCATCTGAAAAACCTACCTTGATTTCCAAAACCTATAATTAGATCATTGTCTATTTGCTTACGGCTGTAATGGAATATTAATTGTTAGCCCGTGTATTTAACAATGACAGAGACTAGTTGCTATGGTCTGTAATGGCACCCTAAGCTAGTTACTGTGGTTTGTAATGGATAAGCATGGCTTTTTTCGTGTAGCCTGTAATTATAAAAGAAAGAAATAGGAGCCTAATTAGTCAAGCTCCTAATTAGCTCAATTTAAAACTCATTAATGTCTGTAATGGGGGGGGGGGGTGGCGGGGGG